CGCCTCAAATAACAGGGACCCCCCAAAAGCTCCAATCTAAAGAGAGCGCCCAAATAAACCGGACCCCCCCCATAACAAAAAAGGCGCCTTAAAAAGCCAGACCCGGGGGACAATCCATAATTAAGGGACTTGGAGTAGGGTGGTCAACTCTCTGGCTCTCTTCCGATAGCTAAGGTGAGGATCATGTGATCGTACGAATGTGATTTCCCCCTGGCGAGGGGCCCCACCGCTTGCAGTCGTGAGTATGCCGCAGTTCTGCGGGTCGGTTGCGGTGGAGCCACCCATAGGGCTACGACGCGTGTGCATGGGGTGTGCCGAGATGGCGGGGAGCCGCATGCGAGCCTTGTCACGGGGACCTTCGGTGGGGCTCCTTCTGAGGATACAAAACGTGCGAGGGGTGTGCCGACATGGACGGGGAGCCGCATACGAACCTTGACACGGGAGCTTCGGTAGAGCTCGATGTTGGGCCACGAAACGTGTAATGGGTATGCCAAAATGAGCGTGAAGCCACATACGAATCTTAAGCCACTGGCCACTGGTGGTGCCTTCGGTGGAGCTCCGTCTGGGGGCACGGAACGTGTGAGCGGTGTGCCGCCCTGGACTTGCAATTGGGGAGTCGCACGCGAACCCTGCAATTGGGGCCACTGGTGAAGCTCCCTATGGGGCCACGAATTGTGAGAGTGGTGTGCCGAAATGGGCGGGCGAGCCACATGCGAACCCTGCTGTTGGGGCCATCCCCGAAACGCGTGAGGGGTGTCGCGAAAAGGGCGAGGAGTCGCAAGCGAACCATGTCACTGGGGCATCCGGTGGAGCTCCTGGTGGGGCCACGACAGGCATGGATGGGAAGAATGGGGGAGCGGGAAGAGGCAGGAGGAGTGACGAGGGGTGCTACCTCTTCAAAACGATGGCCAAACACCGCAGGATGAACGGGTATAAGTGAGGACAGGGGGCGGGAAGGAGAGAGACGGACGCAGAAGCGAAACATCTAGAAACAAGCAAGAACAAATGTATGCATGTACCTGTCTGTACACATATAGGTAGATAGTATATGCATATAAAAGACATATCGACAGAAATATCAATAAATAGACGGGTACCGAGAGAGAGAGAGAGAGAGAGAGAGAGAGCGAGGGGGAGGGGGGAGAGAGCGAGAGAGAGAGAGAAGTGCAGGAAGGGAGTAAGATATGGCGGTCTGGAGAGCGAAAATGAAATGAGGAGTGCAAGAGTGAGAGAGAGACAGAGAGCGAGAACGAGAGAGAAAGACTGGGAGACGGAGGCGCGGACGGACGGAGGGAGCAAGAGAGAGAGAGAGACGATGAGTGGAGCGGGCAAACGAAATACGAACGAAGAGACGGAGAGCCAAGAGAGAGAGTGAGATGGAACGAAAGAAAGAACGAGGGGACTCGAGACAGATTTATCCAGGCGAAGGACCCATGAATGTGTAGTTGTGAGCAACGCAATTCTGAGGATCGTCTTCGGTGGAACTCCGTATTGGGCCACTGGGGCCGTCGGTGGAGCTCCCTATGGGGCCACGCAACGTGTAGAGGGTGTGCCGAAATGGGCATGCGGTGGGCGGGGAGCCGCAAGTACCTTGTCATTGCGGCCTTCGGTGGAACTCCTTATGGGACCACGGAATGTGTGAGCGGTGTGCCGACATGGATACGCGGTGGGCGGGGAACCGCATGTGAATCATCCCACGGGGGCCTCCGGCGCAGCTCCCTATGGGGCCACGACGCGTGTAGAGGGTGTGCCGAAGTGGACATGCGGTGGGCGGGGAGCCACATGCGAACCTTGCCACTGGGGCCTTCGGTGGACCTCCCTGTGGGGCCACGAAACGTGTGAGGGTTTGCCGATATGGACTTGCGGTGGGCGGGGACCGCATGAGAACCCTGCCACTGGGGTCGTTCCTGGAGCTCCCCATGCCAAATTGCACTAAAGCACTTGAAGCAAAAACGAGAAAGGAGAGATGATGCTGACGATGAGGAGGGAGTAGATGAAGAGGGAGACAGAGAGCGTGGGAGAGCAGGAGAGGAAGGAACAACAACAAGAAAGAACAAACATTACAAGAAGGAAGGAGGAGTGGCATGATCTGACTACGAAGGAAAATAAGAGACCAGGCCATAAGGAGCACTGCCATAAATTAAACACAGTAAGGCAACACAGGAACTCAGAAAGGGAGAACACCAAAGAAACCAAAACAGAAAGCACATGACAGCAACACATATATATATATATATATATATATATATATATATATACATACGGCAGGTCCGTGTCGTGCCGACTTCGGCGTTGGTTTCTGACACCGCGGGGATCGTTCAACCTTGAACGATCGGCCGTTTTCGAAACGTCCAATCGTTCCACAGCGAACGATTCTGGGTCGCCCGCGGCGTTCAAAATTGAACGCCGCTGGCGGGGTCGCCGCCGGTCGACACGACACGAACCTACCGTATAAACATCTGTATGTATACATATACATAGTTATACATATATATACGTATATATATATATATGTATATGCGTACTTATATAGATCTGCATGTATGTATATACGTATGTATAATGATATATATATATATATATATACAACACTGTTCTCCAAAGGGCATTCCCACAACAAATACTCAAAACTCGAACTGAAATTTGATGTTTCGGTGTTCTGGTTTTCCCCTGTTTCTGAATTTGGATCTCGGAAACTGAAACATGAAAGACAGCCAATTCCCCAAGAAACTTCATAAACAAACAACCAAAACGGTAAACAATAAAAGAAACCATTGGCATTTCAAAAGAAATCACGAGCAACAGTCAAAACCAAAATTTTGGTTGGAATGCCCCTATTTTTCTTTCAGCGAGAGAGCGCGTTTCACGGGTGCTTGCCTTGGGAACATTCGGCGGCGCGTTTTGAACCGAAGGGTGGGCCCCCCCCCAACACTCGGCGCCGTCGATCAAAACCAGGGGGACTCCCTCCCCCAAACGCCCCCCCCTCCCGAACCCCCCCACCCCCCCTCCCAAGAGTGGGGGGGTCCAAAACCCCCGCCCCCCTCGGCGCCGGCGCCAGCGGCCGCCAGCAGCGTCGACGGCGCGGACGCAGCGACGATGACCAGAGGCAGCCCAACGGGGGGTGGGGGGGGTCAAAAACCCCCCTCCCCCCCTTGGGGCCGAAGGGGGGGGGGGTCAATTCCCCCCCCTCTGGCGCCGGCGACGGCGGGGACGCAGCGACGATAACCACCACTACCACCACCACCACCACCACCACCACCACTACTACCACTACCACCGCCTCAATTACCACCACCACCAACCCACCACACAACCACCACCACCACCACCACAGCCACCACCACCAACACAACCACCACCACAGTAACTCACCATCACGACCACCACCACAAAAACCCACCACCACTACCACCACCACCACCACAATCTACCATGCTACCACCACCACCGCCACTACCAGCACCACTACCAGCAGCACAACCCACCACCACCACCACCACCACAAATCACCACACCACCACCACCACCACCACCACCGCCACCACCACCACCACCACCAGCACCACCTCCACAAACCACCGCTACCACCACAACCCACCACCACTACAAACCACCACTACACCACCACCAAACCACCACCACCACCACCACCACCACAAAACCACCACCACACACACCAACCCCACCACCACCACACCACCACCACCACCACCACCACCACCACACCACCACCCACCACCACCACCACCACCACCACCACCACCACCACCACCCACCACAACCACCACCACCACCACCACAACAACAACCCACCACACCACCACCGCCACAAGCACCACCACCGCCACCTCCACCACCACCACAACCCACCACCACCACCACCACCGTCGTCCTCGTCGACGCTCCCCGCCGCCGCCGCCCGCCGCCGCAGGCGCCGGCGCAGGCCCAGAAAACGACATCGTCGTCCCCTCCGCCGCCGCCAGCCGCCGCCGCCGCCGCCAGGAGGGGGGGGGGTTCGAACAGAACCCCCCACCGTCCGTCACGGAAGGGGAGGGGCGGGGGGGGGGGTCGACCACCCCCCCCTCCAAGCGACCACAGAACGCGCTCTTTCCTTTCAATTTTTTTTACGTTTTTGGGAATTTTCAAAAATTTGCCTTTGTGGAGACTTTCGGTTTCGGCAGTTGAATCCCAAAAACTACTACAGCAAGAAAAACACCGCACAGCACAACACACCGCGCAGCATCGAACCGCAATCGCACAGCACACTCAACCACAACGCTTATCACCCCATCCCCCCCGCCTCGAGAGCGGTGAGGCACGGACCCTTCGACTACACGCAAGGGTGACCCTGGGTAAGAGTGACCTTTGGTGCGCGGCAATTTCTGGGGGCCGCGGGGGGACCAAACTTGGCGGTGCGAACAAAGGGGTGTAGGGAGGGGGGAGGGCTTCTTAGAAGGAGGCTGCTGCTTAGAAGGCGCCGGACTTACTACATCTGCAGATAAAGCCCGCGCCTTCTAAGAAGCAGGGGTGCTTCTAAGCAAACCTCCCCCCTCCCCGCACCCCCCTCTGCGCGTGGCTGACAAACACGAGCGTGCAAGCCGCTACTACCGCATCGCGCTCGGCGATCGGGAGACCCCATTGGGCCCGCACCAAAGATCACTCTGGCGAAAGGTCACTCTTACGTGTCGCCGAACCCTGAGACCCAGATCTCCGATGACATGACTGCCTCAGTCGGGGGCGTCCCAGAGGGGGCGCAAATCATGGCCGGCGGCACGTGCGCGGCCCAGGCGGGGGGCCTGGCACGTGTTGAACTAAGAAGAGGCGCACTGAAATCTGGGAAGATGTCATGTCCCCCGCCATGATATCCAGCCCCCCTAGTCATCACCCCCCTCGTGCCCGCCCCAGATTCAGTCCCTGGTGTGTTCCTCGATTTCGACCGCCAGGGCCATCAAAAACGGATCCGGGGGGGTTCGCTGGCCCCATGGATGGGTCGGCCGCATTTGCTTTTCTTTCCCTTCTTCAATCCGCACGATCTGTCTGGTCACCGTCATTCGATGTCCGCGCACCCCGTGCGACTGCAAGTCTCTTTCATATTGGTAGCCACGTCAGCGCCAATTTCAGTCCTAGAGACGCCGCAGGCAGTTTTTGCCTGTGGCTGAATGACTGCTAGCCGAGGATTTCGGCACAATCAGCGAGCATGGAAAAGCAATGCCGAGACAAGAATAAGCAGCTGGGCTGATAAAGATCGTTCCAACTGTGCTGGCACCGAGATGAACAAGGGTGGCACGTCTGGCAAGAGATGCAGACACACTGCGCAATTTCGCCGACACTGAAATAAACACGCATGCGCGATAAGCAGCGCTGCTGCATCACTCAGGTGGGGCTGTCAATGCCAAAGCGCCGCCTACTCCATGATCAAACCTGATGCCGCGCGGCGACACCACCGCGCCGCTGCTTATAGTCGCGCCGTAGGTATTGCGCTCTGGCGCATGCACTTGCTCCTTGGTCAGGGTAGGCTGGTAGGCCTGGCGCTTCACGCTGAACTCCTGGCAGGAGACGAGGAAGCCCTTCTCGTACTTCCTGACGCTCAAGTGGCCGTCGGCGAAGTAGAACGTCCCCTGCTTCTTCATCCCGTTCTCAAAAGTTCCTAGGAATTCGTCGCCGCTAGCGTACGTGTACTTGCCCCTGTCCTGGAAGAGCCCGTGGGCCCAGTCTCCCTCGTAGCAGTCCCCGTTGTCAAACTTCATGATGCCGTGGCCGTGCTTCTTGCCCCTCTTCCACTCGCCCACGTAGCCGCCGCTGGCGCCGCGGAGCTCGCCGCGGCCGTCGGGGAAGCCGTCCTTCCACTGACCAGTGTACGTGGAGCCGTCCGCATTGGTCCGTGTGCCCTGTCCGCTGGGAGTCGGACGCTCGTTGTGCGGATCACACAGGAACGTGCCCTCGTAAGTGGTCACGCCTCCCGTCGACGACTTCGACTTGAACGAGCCGGCCATCAACGACCCTGGCATGTGCACGTGGTGCACCGCCTGGAAAGAGCCCTTCCCATCCGGGCACTCTCGTGTCACCGTCTCCAGGTCGTAGACCTCCTCGCTGAGAGTGAGGATCTCGTCCAGGGGCCGCTGCATGGGCGGCAGCTCGCCAGAGGCCGGGGGGGCCGCCCCCTCGGCGCCGCCATCCGCCGCCATCCGCCGGCGGCCCGGCAAGTCCCGCGTGCGCCGCGGGGGTCCGCGCGCGGGCCCACGGCGGCGGCCGGAGCCCAGCTGGGTGGGGCCGAGGGGGCTGGAGCAGAAACGAGGTGCGGAGGCCGCCGGGGCCGCGCAGGGAGCGAAGCAGACCGGCGGGCGTCAGGGGGCGGGGGCGGGGCCGCGCGGCGGGGTGGGCACGACGGGGCTCCAGAGCCGACTCCAGCCCTCGGGTCCCAGCGCTGCGCTTGTGGCGCCAAGGGGGCGATCTGTTCGCTCCGCTTCGGGCACCCAGGGGCCCGCAGAGACCGATCCGGCCCGAGCAAAGTGCGCAGACAGATGGGGCCCGGGGCTCTGGCCGTGAGCTGTGCGAGGCTGCATGCTATCCAAAGTCGGATCCGAGGGCAATCGAAGGAGGCACCATAGCCTCATCGATGACTCGCATTCCCGTGGGCATGCATGCCGTGCGCAGCAGCATAACTGCGAATGCGGCCAGCAATTTCTGCTCAGCGTGTCGCCACGGCGGCCCTGGCGGCCCGCCATGGCCTGCAAGCGGACAGCGCGTCGCGCCGCTCCGCGGGGCGGGAGGCCGGAGAAAACTCGGGGCGTTGGCGCCTGGGGACCGGGCCGTGTATAGCGTGTCGCGCCGGAGCGTGGTGGGCCACAACAAGCGGCGCGACACGCGAACCTAAATATTCCTGGCCGTGCATTGCGACGGGGGATTCGGGGCCGTTCTCGGGCTGGAGCATCAAAAATTCTTATGGCTACTGGTGGCCATCAAAACAACACACCCCAAAAAACAAGGCACCCTGAACAGAGCACGGCACCCATAAACAAACACAGACAACACAGAACAAAAACAAGGCACACCAAAAAACAAGGCATCATAAACAAACAAGGCACCCTCAAACAAAACACAGCACCCAACAAAAACATGGGGCTCTCGGTGGGCCCCGGGAGGGCTCAGACACGACTCAGCATGAGGAGCCTGTCCCAGGGGAACGGGCCCAGACCTTTGGGGGGAACCCCACAGCGGCAAAGCCACGACGTCGAAGGTCGGCGTGGGCGGGGGCGGGGGGGGACGGTTGCGTCGCAACTTGTTTCCCGACGGGCGATGTCCTCCCACTTCTCGAGTAGGGGATCGACCACAGAATTGATGTACCCCAGAATTGATTCCCCGTTGAGTCTACGAGAAGTATATAGGATGCCCTGTAGAGATCTAGGGTTAGGTCTGGCCTGTCACCCATACAGTCCGATTTCCGAGGATGAATGAAAAAGCAATTAAACAAACATTCAAAAATGGCCAAACAAATACTAGAAAAGTCGTCCCCATTTTTTTACAGTTTCTGAATCTCCATGTAGAGGGACACACCCGACTTAAATCTAAGGAGCATTCTACACATTGTCTCGTAGACTCGACGGAGAATTCCATGTCGGGGCACATCGGTTCTGCAGTCGAGCCTCTGCTCGAGGCTTTTCGCACCCCAGGGCCCTCGCGGCTCGGTCCGGCACGAGACAGGCGCCGCAGCGTGATGGGCGATGGGGCCCCAGTCTTAGGTCGGGCATGTCCTCCTACAAGGGGGATTTAACACCAAAAATAAAGAAAAGTCAAAAAGGTTACGAGATAGTCAGAAATGGGGGACACAAATCCCCTGACTATTTCCAAAACTATTCTTGAATATTCCTCCCAGGCCCGACTCAGACCCAGTCGTGACTCGCTGCGTCGGATCTGATCGGCGGCGCGCCCGGGGGTGCAGCGGGAGGGGGCGGGCCTTCTCGGAAGGCTCGGAGGTCCCCGGACCCTCTGAGAAGCTGGCACGTGTCAGGAGCCTTCCCCCGAAGGCACGTCAAGACTTCGCAGACGGCACGAGGGCTTCTGAGAAGTCACGCCGCCTTCTGCCTCCCCTTCCCCCTCCCCCTCCCCCTCCCATCTCCTCCTCCCCCTCCCCCTCCCCCTCCTCCTCCCCCCCCCTCCTCCTCCTCCTCCTCCTCCTCCTCCTCCTCCTCCTCCTCCTCCTCCTCCTCCTCCCAATCAACATCATCATCAGCATCAGTATCAGCATCATCATCATCAGCATCATCCTCATCATCCTATCATCAGCATCATCATCATCATCATCATCATCATCCTCATCATCCTCATCATCATCATCTCATCATCATCATCATCATCATCTCATCATCGTCATCATCATCATCATCATCATCATCATCATCATCATCATCATCATCATCATCATCATCATCATCATCATCATCATCATCATCATCATCATCATCATCATCATCATCATCATCATCATCATCATCATCATCATCATCCGCCCTCCTCCGCCCTCCTCCGCCCTCTTCATCCTCCTCCTCCGCCTCCTCTTCCTCCTCTTCCTCCTCTTCCTCCTCCTTCTCCTCCTCGTCCTCGAGGGGCGTCTGCGCCCGGAAGCCCCCTGCAACAGGCGCAGCGCGATGCAAGCGGTGCGCCTCGGGACGCCGCGGGCCCGTCGGGCCGCGCGCGAGGGACACCTCCACGGCCCGGCGCGCCGCCTCCTCGGGCGCGCTTGCGCGGGGGTGGACAGGAGGAGCACTTGCCTTGCCGACTTTGAGGAGGAGGAGGAGGAGGAGGAGGAGGAGGAGGAGGAGGAGGAGGAGGAGGAGGAGGCTGAGGAGATAGAGCAGGAGGAGCAGGAGGGGGAAGAGGAGGAGGAGGAGGAGGAGGAAGAGGAGGAGGACAAACACATGGCTAATGGGGAGGCGAAGGGTTGGCCGACCCGGCCCTGACCCGAACCCTCGCGGCACTGGGCCACCAGTTGTTCTCCCTCTGAGCACGGGGGCGGACTGGCAACCCAAGTCCACCCCCGTGCTCAGAGGCCCCTGTGGGGTTGTCGCCTGGCTGACGGAACCCCAAAGCTCGGGTTCTAGGGCTGGCTGCGTAACCAGCACCGCCAGCCCAGGAAGGAAGCATTGACCCCAGGAAGCAGCTGTGGGCTGAGGCGGAACTGCAGCCCTGCGCCGCAGAAGAGTGTGCAACGCACCTTCCCCCTGGGCGGGGTGCCTGACACGCGTGCAGGACCGCGCGCGCACGCGCGCACGCACAGTGCTCAGTTGGGCCCAGATGTGGCGCTGCACACCTGGCCACAATCCCGTTCCTCGGCCGCCTGTGGCGGGGAGGTGGGAAGGTGGATCTGGGCAGCAGTCAGGGTGGGCAAGGGGGCCCAAAGTCCACCCCCGTGCCCAGCAAAGAGGTCGCACCAAAACAGCACCCTGCAGCGAAGAGGACGGCATGCCTCGCCCGGCTGGCGGTACCCCGAAGCTCGGGTACTAGGGCTGGCTGCGGGACACCAGCACCGCCAGCCGGGGCGAGTTGCAAAACCCATGATCGAACATGCATCGGGCAAAGGCGTAGCTGCGACCAATGCCGCAGAAAGAAGCAAGCGCCCCTTCCCCCTGAGCCGGGGTGCCTGACACGCGCGCGGGGAGCGCGCTCGCACACGCATACAAGTACACAGAGAATGACGCGACGCCAGGACGACTCGGCACTGCCCACCCCTGGTTTAGAGAACGCCAGGACGGTGGGCAAGCCTCATCCCTGGTGTGGGCCTCTCTGCGCCTGGGCTTGAGCTGCCTCTCTGAGCAGCTGCGCCGGCGGCATGAAAGGAAGACTGAGCACAATCGGGCTGGCGGCGGCACTCTTGGACTCTTGGGGTGACGGCCAGACTGTGCTCTCTGCATCTGCAGCTTAGCCCCATTGTGGGGCGGCCTCAACTTACAATCGCCAGACAAACCCCTCGAATTGCCCTCCTTAAAAGAACCGCACTTGTGGCGCGCCAGAAAACTTGTTGGCTGTCCGAGTTGCTCGTAACAGAACAATGTATGCCCCCTGGGGTTGGAGGCCAGGCTGGACGTCTGGGGGCAGTGTCCAAGGCAATCCACCGCGCTGCATCGCTCCTCATGTGTTTTGAACGTGCGGACGCGGATGCGGCAAATCGCACATCGGCCCTGGCCATTCACTATCGCCCAGACGTGGGCCCTCGGAGTCTCACGAGGGGCCGCAGGAGGAGGAGGGGCGGAAGGCGAGGCCCCAGGGCCCCAGGAGGCCAAGGCCGAGGCAACCCTCGAGGGAAAGGCGAGGCTCTTCACGGGTTTGGCCAGCGCCCTGTTGCGACGAGGGGCCATAGCGGGCCACTCTCCAAGCGCTGTGGACACAGATCGAAGGTATTTCTTCAGCAGAGCAGTGTCTTCCTGATACTGCTCTACTTCGTCGAGACTAGGTTGACTGCCGAGGTCCGCGGCGGCCTCGGCAATCCAATCTGCGGCGTCGTTGCCGCTAGCTAAACTGAACTCGCCACTATCGGGGAGGGGGCAACTCCAGATGTGGTCGAGCCTTGGCTGCCTGAAACTCGGGGCCGAAGTCAAAATTGCCCCCGCCCGCGAGCACTTTGCAACCTGGCCATCGGTTGCGGCGAGAATGCCCAGCCTCGCCGTGCAACTGCAGCACCCCTATATAATCCGAGTACACCTTGTCAGCGCGAGGCGAGAGCCTGCCTGCCGCCACTGCGGCGAGGTGCTCAACGGCCCCCGGGGTTTGGGCCCCCAGGGGCCCGACGCGGACATAAGAGGTGGCAAATTCATCTCCGTCCACCATGCACACTACGGCAAACCCAGCAGCATTGAAATTGCAGTGGCCGTGACACATGCAACTAAGACGTCGTGGTGGCCATGCGCACCCAGCGGCCATTGAAGTTGCAGTGGCCGTGCATCTATGTAGACATCACCTTTGGACGCTTCCTCAGGCCGTAAATTAAGGCCTCGACACCAAAACTTAGAGGCCTCCAGGCCAGTGCCAGGGGGGGGCGCCCACAACCTTGGGCGTGAACTGAGACCCAAGGTGGAGCGGGGAGGTGTCAGGAACCGGGTCTTTCAACCTACGGAGCTCCCCACTAGTGAACTCTTCTCTGGCCTGGGCAGTCTTGGGGCGCTCGAGGAGGCGATGTTAGAGGTCATCTTTGCGCTGTCCACATGGGCAACCTTGGGGCGCATCATATCCTGCTGAAAGTGCGCGCTCCATGGTCCAGATACTCTGGGCGACGAAGGCCAGCAGCGTGCCGCGCTGCTGCTTGGTCAGCTCGACTGAGCTGAGGACGGCGCGGAGGGCTGAGACAACAAGCTGCTCGCCATGATGTCCCATCTTGGTGGCAGCCTGTACTGCTAACTTGTCGTGCCAGGCAACCTCCTGCTTGGCAATGCAGGCTGGGGAAGTTCCTGGGAAGGGATACGCAACGCCTGTAGGAATCACAAAACGGAAAGGACCCTGAAACGACCACCCCACCTTGGCCAACGAGAGGGCCACCGCGCTGAAGGGGCCCCTGCAGGAGCCCCAAGTTTTGGAAACTCTCGGCACAACCGCCTCTCCCCACGGGCTGATCTGTTGGAGGCTGGCCACGGCCGCGTCGGGGCGGGCGTTGGCCTCCCAGACAAGACGGCGCCACATAAGCGCGGGCCCGAGGCTCGCTTTCCACGGGGGGTCCTGGAGGATGAGGAGCGAGAGAGCACGGCTCCTCGAGGCACACCTTGGACCTGCTGCAGCTAGATATCTAGTTTGGGCCTGCGCGAGCATCGTGTTATTGACGCCCGTGACCTCAACTCCGAACGCGGTGGCCGCTGCGAGGCCAGCATTGTACAACTTCTTACCATTTCCTCCAGCATGTTTAATCATTTTGATACGGGCCACGCGCTTCTAGAGAGGAGAGGAGGACGAGGAGGAGGAGGAGCCCAGCGTAGAGGAGGAGGAGGAGGGGGAGCGGAGCGGAGCGGAGCGGAGCGGAGCGGAGGCGTCGGTTCCGGGCGCCGGGGGCACCCGTGCCCTCTGGGCAAGGCGCAAGAGGCCGTGGCCTCAGACCGCGTGGGCGCAGCTCTGGATGGCGTAATTCACGCACCGGAACAAATAGAGCGCGTGGTCGACATGGGACATCAACCGGCACATCAAGAATATGTGGGCGAAGTAGTACACGAGCTGGCGCAAATAGAAGACAAGGAGGACGGAGTTCAGGATTGTGCTTGTGGTCGGTGTTGTTTGTTTGTGGTCAGTGCTGGTGGTCGGTTCCTGTGTTCTGGTCAGTGTCGTTGGTCGGTGCCACGTGCTGGTGGTCAGTGTGGGTCCGTGGTGGTCGATGCTGGTGTTCGGTGATGGTCGGTGGCGTTTGGTGCTGGTGGCGCTGCTGGTCGTTGGTCGGTGTCTGCGGTCGGGGCCTAGTCAGTGCTGTCGGTGTTTTGCTGCTGCTGTTGATGTGGTCGATGCTTGTGCTGGCGTTGCTGGTGCCGCTGTTCGGTTTCGTTGCCGCTGTTGTTGGACGGTGTGCACAGCCAACTGGCGTATGCAAAGAAAGTGCTTTCACGTGCGTCCCACCGCGTCGGTTCCGTTGCGGCTGTCAACCATCTTACGTCGTTGCTGTCGTAGTGGGTGTATTGCCGTGGGCGAGTGGCTTCGTTGGCGTTGCCTTGTGCGGCTGCGTCGTTGGTGGTCTGACGCAAGCTGTGGTGGAATTTACGAATGTCGTCGTCCCACCGCTTTTGTTGGCCGCCATGTTGCCGATGGCCCTGCTGTCGCTCGTCGAGAGAAGGGTTCCAGTTCAATGCTCGCTGTGTCCATCGGTTCGGTGGGCGGTGTGCTACCCGCGCGGCCCAGCACCAGACCTTGCTTTTGTTTCTGTGTGTTTGCTCCACGTCAGGGATGTCGTGAAGGCTCATTATGTCCTCGGCTCTGCGCGTGCTACGGCGGATGAAATCGGACCACAGCTCGCTGTCGTCCGTCGTCTGCGCGCGGGCATGGTGATGGTCGTCGCTGGTGTACTCGCGCGGAGTAGGCGGGTTGCTGGATGCGTCGTGGTCGCTGGAGTCGTTGAGGTCGTCGCTGTTGGCGTTGTGGTCGTGACGGTTGCCCGTGGGCGGGGCGGGGTGTGTTGACGTGAGTGTTCGTGCGCGTTCTCGGTGTTCCGATGATCGCTCTGACCATTCGCTGTAGTCTGCGGCGTAACTGTTGTCTGAGAGGCTCTGTCAAGGTGCACGTCTCTGCGCCGTACGTCAAGGTGGGCATTGCGGCGCCACGGCAGAGTCGCAGCCTGTGCTTGAGAGGGTAATGTTTGCTTGTAAGCTCTGGTCTGTGTCCTGTGAAGCATGCCCATGCAGCCTGTATGCGGTGTTGGCTCTCTGTAGCCGAAGCGTCCTGGAACGTGATCGCTTGGCCGAGGTACGTCAGCTTGCCGGTGCACGGGGCAACTTCGATGTCAATGTTTGCAACCGTGGCCTTGCGCGTTCGAGTCCTTGGTTGGTTTGTCATGATCTTCGTCTTGGTCGGATGAATTTCGAGACCGTGGGGTTTTGCTGCTGCGATTAAGTCGGTGATTCGCGTCTTCAGATTGGAAAGTGTCTGGCTCACCATGAAGATGTCGCCGGCGAAGCGGAGGTTCGTGAGAATAGATTCGTCGATGTGTGCCAGTTGGACTCCTCGTCGTCGTCGCTGCCATTACGGGATGAGTGGCGCTAGCACATGTTGCAAAAGAGCGTTGAACATCAAAGAGCTCAGAAAGTCTCCCTGTTTCGTGCCGCGTCGGAGCTTGAAAGGCCTGCTGGTGGAGTCGGTACGGACGACAGCCTTCTGGCCATGGTAAAGGCGCCGGAGTAAGTGGACGCATTCGGGCGCCACCCCCTGACGAAACAGTGCTGTCCATAAGCTGCCGTCCTCCACTGCGTCGAACGCTTAAAACAATATCTACGGCGGCGATCCACAAAGCTTGATTCCATTCGGAGGCCCATTCCCGCATTATGTTAAAGGTGAACACGGTAGTCGGTCGTGACGCGCCCAGGTCTGAAGCCCGCTTGGTCGTCGGGTTGTTGCTGCTCGAATACTGGTGATAGTCGATTGTACAGAAGATAACTAAACATAAACAGCTTGTATCGCATGGGTATCGTACATATCGGGCGGTAGTTTTGTGGAAGCGTCAGATCACCCGACTTGGGAATGACTGTGCTCACAGTTGTCCGCCAACTTGATAGTGTCGGAGCGTTTGGTTGAATGACCGCGTTGTATAGCTGCAGCAGTGCACGTTGAAGCTCCGAGCACGGTGCTTTGTACATTTCGGCCTTTATCCCTACTCCGTCGGGTGACTTTCCTGGCTTGAGTTGCGATATTGCTCTCGAGTTCTTGAAGCATGAAGGGTGGAATGCAGTGCTCGGCGTCGTCTGCGGTTGGTGGTCCGTCGTGGGTGTCGGTGGAATCGGAATTGTACATTTCCTCGTAGAAGGTCGCGAATACATTAGCAATCCCTTGGCGGGTGGCGTGCTTATGCCGTCCTTGTCAAACATACCCGTGGTTAGCGTCCCCTTTCTCCTTGTCTTGATGGAGCTGATACGTTTGAGGTCCATGTTTTGCTCCAAGATGGTGCTTATCTGCTGTCGTCGTTTGGTGCGCTTCTGCTCCCAGATGTGTTTTTGCATTGTTTTACTGGTCGCTCGTCTTCCGTCTGTGTCTGCTCTAGGAATGCCTCTGCGTTGGTTCACGAGGTTGTTGATAGTGTCGTCGCTGTTGTTGCTGGGTTCATTAGGTTGTGTCTCTCCGGCGGTGGTGCTGTGCAAGCTTGATGTCGTTCATGCTCTTCTCGATTGCCTCCGCGAGCTTGTCTGGATCAGCTGGTAGATGTTCGTGCTGTAGTTTGGAGCCCAATACCCGTTGGTATTCGTCGCAATCGGCGCGTCCTCGAGGCCAGTGCGCGGAGTGTCTGCCCCGTGGGGGCAATGAAATGGGCACAATTTTGGCCTTGAGCCAAAATTGCTGCGGATGGGGAGGGGGCGGAGGAGGAGGAGGAGCAAACAGAAGAGGAGGAGCAGAAGGAGGAGGAGGAAGAGGGGGATAGGGGGAGGAAAAGCGTCCTGGTGCTCCTCCTTCCTCGTTCTCCTGCTCCTCCTCCCCTGCGTCCTCCCCCTCAGGAGGACGTCCTTCGTGGCGTCGTTCAGCGGCAGCCTCCCAGTCTCCCTGGCGCTGAGCAGAGAAGCCTGCGAGAGGGGCGGCAGTTGGGGGGGGGGGTCCCTTCGCGCCTCTCTGGGGCTGGCGACAGACGAGTCCGACAAGCTTTGCGGGTGTTGGCTGTGCTGCCCGAGGGTGCCCCCGGCCTCTCGCATCGCTTTGGGACCTCTGGGGCCCCCTGGGCTTCGTCAGGGGTGCTCTGGAAGCCACTGGGAGGGGGAGGAGGAGGAGGAGGAGGAGGAGGAGGAGGAGGAGGAGGAGGAGGAGGAGGAGGAGGAGGAGGAGGGAGGAGAGGAGGAGGAGGAGGAGGGAGGGGGAGGAGGAGGAGGAGGAGGAGGAGGAGGAGGAGGAGAGGAGGAGGAGGAGGAGGAGGAGGAGGAGGAGGAGGAGGAGGAGGAGTCCTCCAGGTTGCGCCGGGCCGCGGCCCTTTTTCGGAACCTCAGATAAACGACGAAGGGGGTGTGCCTGGCCACGGCGAGCCTCGGCCACGAAGGCGCTCCCAAGCACAATTGAACGGGCGGCCGGACATCCAGAACCCCTCCCGAGCCCCAAGTTGACCTCTGGCCCAGGGGCCTTTGTCAACCTCGCACTACTATGCGTTATATATATGTATAAATGTATGTGTATGTATGTATATATATATATATCATGTGGTTTGTTGTATGTCTATCTCTCTCTCTCTCGCTCTATCTCTCTCTCTCTGTCTCTATTTCTCCCTGTTTATCACCTTCCTCCTCGGTCCCTTACTCCCTTCTGTCACACTCGAATGATGTGTTTGTCTATATATATATATATATATATGCTTGTTGCTTGTATTCAAACGTATATTTCAATGGCTCTGTATCGTTCTCGTGTTGTTTATCTTTCTCTCCCCCTTTTCTCTCTTTCTCTCTCTCTCACTCTCTCTCTCTCCCCCGTCCCCAACATGTGTATATACAAACATACACAAGAACTTACACATGTGTTTACCCACACACTTCAATTCTGGTGCATATTTATGCATATATACACACGCCCCTACATATACAAGATACACAGTGGAAGCGGACACCCCAATGACAGCAACCGCAGCGAGCGAGCGCACCACACATCGTGTGAGTCAGGCGGGCAGGCAGGGGCAGAAATGAGGGCAATCGTAACATCAAGAGAGAAAATGCTCACAACCTCGGGGGGCATGCGCAATTTGCCGGAGATAACAGATCGCACCAGGTTGGGGAAACGGGGATCGCATTGGCATCGCCATGAAAGCGTACTCGGGCCAAGACATCTTACTTGAATCCGAGTGGGATCCTGTTCGAAATTCTTCTTCGTAGTTCATATTGGGAAATAGCCGGGGACTACCGAAAGCGAAAAAGGATGATATACAGAACGAGAGAAAGTGAAAGAGAGCGGGGGGAAGAGGGAAACCAAACAACACAACAGAACGCATAAAGAGAGAAAGAGGGGATAGTCCGCGGATATGTTGAACCCACACGAGGCACTATTGAACATCATGTGTCGGGTCCTGGTGCTCTGAGAAATAGACCAGGCCCTAAGATATCCCCCGCACAGAGACCGCGATACTATATAACCACGGCTCCAAGAAAACATAACCCGCTGGCATGTAGGGGGGCCGGATTGGAAATGAATAGTCCCACGGAAATCCCAATGAAATCCTGACGTCCTATTGAAGTCTGACTGGGATCTTGGGATCAGCATTAGAATTAAGCTGTAATTCGGAATGGAATCGAACTGGGGTCTTACGCGATCCTATTGGAATTCGACTAGACTCCGATTGGGAAATGATGAGGATCTACTTGGGATTCCATTGAGGCCCTCGTGGGATCCGATTGGGATCCTAGGTTGAACCGGAATGGCGTATCATTTGAATCCGATCGGGAGCGTATTGGATCCCTACATTGGGATCCCATTGGAAACCGATTGGACGTCAGATTGCGACCCTAATTATTGGAGTGTTACTAAAATATGTTTGTAATCCTATCTTAGGAACCATATTGTGATGCACTTGGGAACGTATCGGGGTCCTATTGGAAGCCGATTGGATTTCAAATGTAAGCCTATGGGAATCCTCGGGAAACAAATGGAATCCTGGGGGCCCAGAGAGGTCGGGCGCTCATTCTGACCGTGGTCTCAGGGACCCGGGTGCTTGGCCACGACGGAAAACTCGATCGTACAGCGCTGGTAATCCCTGATCCACGAACCCAAGAATCTGGCCGCCCACAAAAATCGGCCTGGAACCGGGAACCCCGACATGAGAACCCTGGCTCCCGACAGCTCACCAACAGAGAGAGAGAGAGAGATACAGAGAGACAGACGGACAAACAGGAAGACAAACAGACAGAAAGACAAAACAGACAAACAGACAGAGACAGAGAGAGAGAGAGAGACAGAGACAGAGACAGAGACAGACACGCAAAACAAAGCCAAACACATCTACATGATAATATATATATATATATAACCAGACTGCATTGGCGCTTCGCGCCATGCACCTTGGTTCCTGAGGCTTTGCATATGTTGGTCGTTCGCACCATCCCTGGTGGCGTTGGAACTGTGACCCCTTCCCTGCAGTGGTTTTCAGAAGTCGTCGAAAATTCGGGCGGTCCCTGACCCTTCCCGGGCCCCTGGGCGCTCCCGAGAGGCGCCGGGTGGAGGACGAAGCATGGGAGGGAGGGAGTCTCGGAGAGCGAGGAAAGGAAGCGGATGTGGGGGAGGACGGGTGGTGGAGCGGCAGCAAGAGGAGAAGGAGAAGGAGGAGGAAGCGGAGGAGGGCGCCGTCGGGGGACGGCGAAGAGTGTTGCAGCGGGTTGCAGCGGGTCGCAACGGGGCACGCGAACGCAAGTAATTCTTGGGGAATGCACCCGATCCCGGGTTCGCAACAGATTTCCGGGATTTGTGGTTGTGAGCCTGGGATGCAAGTCAGTTTGGTGGAAAACGCCGTGTGGGCATTCTTGGAGCCCTGGTGGGCGAGAAGGCTTGCCTCTTTTTGACTCATGTAGGCAGTCTTCGGGCCGTCCAGGCCGTCTAGAGGCTCTCTTGGGGGTCTCTGGGGCCGTCTTGGAGCGATACTGAAGGAAGTATTGGCTGTTTTTGACGCTGCTACGACCCGAACAGCAAATGCGCTGAAAAGGTACGTCTCTCGAAGGCAAGGAAACGACGTTTACATTCTGGAAGCACTGTTGAGGGCCTCCTGAGCCGTCTTGGGGATCTCTGGAGGCTCTCTGGATCCTTCTTGGAGCAATCTTGTGCTGTCTTGGGTCTTTCTTCGGCCTTTCTGATCACCGCTCCGATCGCTTCGTGGCTTTGTGAGGGCCTGTTGGGCCTCTTTTGGCTCATTTGGGGTTTCCTTGGGCAGTCTGGCCGTCTAGCGGCTCTCTTGGGCGTCTCTTGGGCCGTCTTAAAGCTCCACACAAGGCGGTGTTGATGGAGAGCACCCGCTGGCTCTGCTTCCAACATCGCCGTCTCAAAGCAGAAACGGAGCTCCCGCTGGATATTCCTTCCCCACAAAACGACGTCGCCCCAACAAAAACTAACGAATCGACACCGAATGTGTAATCACGTCCGATGGTTTTTCCGGGGAAGGGTATTTTCCAGATTTTGAGGCCTACCTGGAAGGACCGGAAATGACCGCGCTGCAGCGGGAGCAAGATGTGAAACAGCCAGAGGCGCAGAAATGTGGCCAGCGGCGCTTCAGCGGGAACAACATTTTGACCATCAGGAGAAGCGAAAACCCATATCCGGGGAATCCTGTGTATAAAAACGCTACGCGGAAGGGGGACATCTTAAAATCGTCGGGTAGACGACGAAAGGGGGAGAGAAGGAGAGAGACATCGCCGAGAAACACAGACGGTTTTCGAATGTCCTCTGTTGGCCTCGCGCGCGCCTGCGCAGGCGCACGATGCAAGGCCGAAGAAAAAGTCGGCCACCGACGACAACGGCGACGAGGACGCAAGACGACGGCGAGAATGACAACCGACATCGCCCGCGACAAACAAGCGAACGAAGCGACACGATCGATAACGACGACGATAACGACGACGACGACGACGACGGAGGCCCAAACCTGGGAGGAAAAGCCGTTGCGCAAGGACCGACCGTCCCTGCATTCCTAGAGTCCTACCGCGAAATGTTCCTAGAATTTAAAAATGTCTGAAGAACACAAGGAATGTTTTCAAAAAAAACCACTGTGTCGAAACGAGACAGCATCGGCCAGACATGTGCGAAAAACATTCTCCGCGCGAGCCACAAAAAGGTTCTTAGAACATTCTTCGGCGGGTCCATATCGGGGGTTCCAAAGGGTATGGTTTGCAAAGGGTGTGGTTTCCAACCGGCACCCTGGGGAACATCCCGGGGGGCACCCTGGGGGGCGCGCGGGGACATCGATCGAGTTTTTTTCCCGCGCCTCGAGGAGGCCCGACGACGACAGCGTCGTGCCCCCCAGGCCCCAGCGGCGCCGATCGCAAACCACACCCCTGCGCAGCCGCACCCTTTGCAGTCGCCGACTACTGGCGAGCCGGGACGCGTCGCCACTGCTTGGCGGAGCGAAGAGGCCCTGCCCGCCCGGAGAGAGCCGGTGGGGCGGCTGGCGGCCCGCTGCCTGTCGCGATGCCCCTGCCCCGGTGTGCGTGCCGCTGCCCCGCGTGGCCGCCAGCAGCCGCTCCAGGAGCAGCAGCAGGAGCAAGGCTTAGGTCGGGCACGTCCTCCTCCCAGACCCCCTCAAGTTATGAAAAAATCACGACGGGAGGTTTTTCATTATGTTTGGCCTTTGGGAGCCCTTACTGGCCCTCGGGACCGTCAAAAAACGACTCAGGACGAAGAACCGGTCCCGGGGAAAGGGTCCAGAACGCTGGGTGTCGACGTCATGAAAAATTCATGACGTCGGGGGTCTGGGCTGCACATGGGCTTTGGGCGAAAAACGCTAAAATAGTTATAAAACAGGCCCAAAGAGATCCCAGAAGAGTGAACATCGTGGGGCACTTCTCGACTACTTCAGCACAGCTTCCCCCTGTGGAGGGACGTGCCCGAAACAAGGCAGGGCGGGCACGTAGCACGCGGGGGAGCACCACGACGTTCAACAGACGCGGCCGCCTCCGACAGGGGTTTCCGCGGCAACTGCCCAGGGAACTCGACAAGGCGCGGCTGTTGCTCGAGCGGCCGTCGGGGGGCGGGGGGCCCCCTTCTCCCCGCTCACGGCAGGCACAGTACACAGTGTGTTGGCCATCTTGTCGCACAGTGGCGGCCGCCATACGACCAGCAGGGCGACGCGGCATACGACGCATTCCAAGAAACGGGAAAAACGTCGAAGGGAGGCAATGCCGATTCAGGAGGGCAGCTGTGTTGCGAACCTCCCCCCGGCAACCAGAGTGAGCATTCAGGAGGTGCTGGCGTGGCGTGTCCAGAAGCACCAAATATGCAGGAGGTTCAAGATCCCCTCCAACCGAACGTCCTTCTCTTCGGAGGCCCTCTCGGAACCAGCGTGAGCAGGACGTACTTGATCCCAGGGGGCGGCCTGGATGACGAGCAGGAAAGCAGCAGTGTCCTAGACCGCGGCTACACTCATCTTCGAGGGCTTCAGGGAGAGGATCCGCCTCACCCCACGGGGCGGTCCGTGAGGGTCTGGGAGGGGTGCAGCTCATCGGAGAAGCCCCTTTTCGCGGGCGGCCGTCGAGAGAGCGCACCCAAAGGCCGACCGCTATCGAGGAGGAGGAGGAGGACGAGGAGGAGGAGGAGGAGGAGGAGGAGGAGGAGGAGGGGGAGGAGGAGGAGGAGGAGAGAGGAGGAGGAGGAGGGCGACGAGGATTCAACAGGGAGGAGGGCGAAAGGGAGCACCGAGAGAGAGAGAGAGAGAGAGAGAGAAAGAGAAAGAGAAAGAGGAATAGAAAGGGAGAGAGAGAAAAAGAGAGAGAGAGAGAGAGAGAGAGAGAGAAATAAAGAAAGAGAAAGAGAGAGAGAGAGAGAGAGAGAGAGAGAGAGAGAGAGAGAGAGAGAGAGAGAGAGAAAGAGAGAAAGAGAGAGAGAGAGAGAGAGAAACAAAAAAAGGAAAGCTCACGCAGCACGTCGCTTCCCCCCCCCCCCCACCCTAAACCTCCAGCCGCCAGCCGCCCCCTCTTTCCCGCGGGCCTCCAGGGCCCGCGCGGCCCCGTCGGGCTGCGCGGACGCCAGCTCGAATATGGCCTGGCGGACGGGGGGAAGCGGGGACAAGGAGAGCAGGGGGGGCGAGCGGAGGATCCAGGTGGAAGTGGATGACAAGCAAAGAAAGCGGGGGGGAGAGAGATGACGCGGTAGGGAGGGGGGAGGGGGAGATGGGAGGGAGGCGGCGGGGCGATGCCATGGGCGAGGCGCCGCGGTCTGATTGCTGGCCTCCTCTACCCCAGGGATTTCACCCAGGAGACTTAAGATAAGAAGTTGGGAAGGGGAGGGCTGGAAGGCCTGAGCGAAAGAGACCTTGCCCCTCCACGGGGCCCTCCGCCTCGCGTCCTCATCGCGGGCCGCCTGTCGACGATGCTCTCGGCGTCGCCTCGCCTCCCCCCCTTGGGCGGCGACGCGCTCGAGCTGCGCAGGGGCGAGGGGGGGGGGGCGGGCAGCAGGGGGCGGCGGCGGCAGGGCGGGGGCCGGGGGGGGGAAGTCAAGAAAACCAGCAATTTCAAACTCCTCATCCGATCCAGGTAGCACGAATTCTCTCGGCTCAGAATCTGGAGTCGGATCACGCCCAGAAGCAGCAGGAGTCGGAGGTCCAGCCTGTTTTCCCTGGGGGCTGTCCTCTGGTTCTGGGCCCTTGGGAAATCCATGGATCTCCAGATCAGCACGCGCGACTCCCTGCTCCCAACCTTTATGTGCGTAACCGGGGGCGGCAGGAGCAAACTCACTATCTACATGCTTGATAAGGAACTATCGAAGGTCTGCAATGAGGGCTGGGTCGGGATCTGACGCGACACCTGCATCATTGGAACTTGCATGTATCCTGGACATGGGGCCTGCAATTCAGGCCGCAATCCTATTGCACATATCCGAAAGATACGTCGTTTCGGCGCGGATTCTGAACCGTCGGGCCCCTCCCTTGTCATCCGTCTCCTTACCGCGCAAAATATTGTGAGAGCCTTGTGGGTGGTGGCGCCATCCCTTCCTCGGGCTGTCGGTCAGCCTGCGGGCAAGGCAGTCCATGCGCAAGCCCAGCAGCCTGGTGGGCGCGCGCCCATACTCACTGGCACATCGCGTAGCTGGCTGGCGCACGCATTGATCAAAATCAGCCGTGACAACGTTGGGCGCCGAGCAGAGGGCTTCCAGGGGCTCGCGCTGCAAGCTGCTGGGGGCTTGGGCACGCCAGCGGGGGGGGAGCGGGTGCTCCATCCACCCCGAGGTCCCCGCGACAACATGACAGCCAAGAGGTGCACCAATTGCTGCAGTAGCGCATTCCCGACCCGCTGCTGAGCTTGCTTGTCGGTGTAGCCCAGGGACGCCCCAGTGCCATTCGCGCGCGCGTAAAGGGGGGGGGGGGGGGGCGCCCCGCCACCTGGCCGCGCCCCGCCCTTCGCATGCCCCCCCCCCCCCCCCGGTGTGCCACACACGTCGTGACATGATGTGGATGGATAGTGGTAGTCTTAGTAAGGTCACCCAGGGTAGAGGTAATTGCGATGCCCGCACTCAACGCACATACCTGAAAGTCAATTTGCGCGTGCATGTCGTCCATCCCAAACTGCATAGATCCTTCCCTCCTCCTACCTGAAAACAATTTCAAGATGAACACTTCAGCTCGATGAATGCGGCATGGTATCAATTCTGCCGCACTCCCTTGAAAGTCATGAGACCGATACTTGTAATGTCGATCTGCATAGAGGGGCTGGTCCTGGGTGGGCCCCCCTGGGGGATCGTCGCAGAGAGCCTGATGGGCCGGGAGGGTGTCGGGGCTGAGTTCGTAGGCTGCCTGCTGTAGGAGAGTCCTGGCCTCGGCTGCGCTGAAAGTGGCGGCCGCAAGCATGGCGGATGGGTAAAGACCGCCCTCGGGATACTGCGCTGATGCTGGGAGGGCTTCTCTCCAGCGCCCGAGACCGGATCTCCTCTGAGCTGCATGGCTGACCGCGTCTGCGAGGCGCAATTCCTCTGCTCTGTCAGGGGTGACTGCAGCTCCGTGCATCATGTGCGCGAATTGGCATAGTGGTGCATCGAAGGCGAGGTGGTCTCGCAGTTGCCGTCTTGCTGAATGACATAGAGCATGCCGTGCACGTACTTCCCTCCCCCATGAAACGTGAGATAAGGTGTACTGCGCTGTAGTGTACGCGCACAGTGTGCTGACGTGTGCTCTTGGCCGACGTACCCAAGAAATCGCACCGCATACACTGTAGGCCAGTATTGAACACCTTAGGGGGGTAGATGGGATGCGTGGGATCTGCGATAGGAACTGGCGCGCCTGCAGGCCTGACTAGCGAAAAGGAGTCGCTCTGTGCCCGCTGGGCCAATGCAGCTCGAGCTGCTGCCATAGCATGGGCGCTGAGTGCACTGTTGGGCGCGGGCTTCCATGCTGGCAAAGATGTCTGGATAGTCTCCTCCCACTTCGCAAAGTGTGCGTCTGGCGCAGGCACGTCGCGAGACTTGTGATATGTAGCGCATGACCACCTCGAGCCCTCCAGAATTCCGCGCGTCCAGGACGTGCGACGGCCTTGGGGCACTCTGTACACATGTGTGACCAAACTGCGCAAAGTGGGCGTGCCGCAGTGTATAAGCCGCCCCAGTACGCGCAACCTATGCACACGAGGCACAGCGCGTAGGTCAGCTCTCTCTACCTTGGCAAGGATCAGTCTGTCTGGCACTACATCTGCATCCTTCTGCGGTAGGTGGGGCACCTGTCGATACTTATTCACCATGATGTGCTGCATGTGCGCGTGCTGTGCGTCGGTGAGTAGGGGCCAGGTACCTGAGTTGAACAATAGGCCCGAGAAGAGGGGGGCACCGGTGAAGTGGAGGCGGGCTTCTTGAGGGATATCCACTGAGGCCCCGAAGATACGCCGTCGTAGTAGGTCTCCGAGGAGCGCATGGAGCCCCCCCTGCGGGCCAGCTCGGGCCCAATAGAACCCAGCTCGTCCAGCTGCGTGCCCAGGTGTGGGCACGTGCGCACAGCATGTAATGTAAAAGTGATCAGGAGATCAGACTGGATATCGAAGCGTCCCTGGCGATCCCGCCAGAGATCACGCTTGGCCAGTCTGGCCCCTCCTCCTCGTAACTGAAAAAGTACTTATGTTTCGCCTGCTGCAAAGTTGAGGCGCAAGCCTCGGCGCACAAAGCTGGCTGCAAATACCTCTGCCACACGGGCCGCTGCACGTGAAAGCATGGGGGCGGGGCCGATGACAAAATAGCACCGTCGTCACAGAAACATAGGTCCAATTCTCCCCGAATGGTGTCTGGTGCATGTTGTAGCAAGTCGGCCATACTCGCATGCAAGGCAACAGGAATACGGATGTCGAGCTCAAGCTCGCGTAGAGACTGCTGCGATTCGTGGATGCATGCTGCCGTGGCAAAATTGAACACCATATCCCCCCACTGTTATCCTGGCCGCGCCCCTTCCAGTGAGTGGGCAACTGCTGTGGCTCCTGGGTGCCAAAACCAACTGCCTGCGTAGCTGGAGGCTGTGAGGACCCGAAGATGCCGAGCAACTCAAGCGGCCTCATGAACGGTGGGGTGCCTTGCTACGTGGGCTTCGAGGCCCTCTATGGCGCCTCTTGGGAGCCCCGCTGCGGAGAGGATGAGGTGGAGGTCCGCGTCGCTCGTGCCCACTCGCGTGACCAACTCTCGCATGGCCCTGTGGAAGGCCGAGATGGCGTCAAGCATGACGGACGTAGCTGGCTCGTGGAGGGTAGCGGCCAATTCTGAAATGACCTGAGCGCGAGAGCGGCGCGATCCACCCCTCTGCCAGCAATGCCCCCACATTGTGAGTCTCCTGCAAACATGGGAAGCACCTTAGCGAGGGGGTTCCGGAGACGCTGACGACATGTCTTGCCCACCTGTGAGGAGATCATGACAGAGCGTTGGCGCTGCACTTGGAAGGATCAGCCTTCTTCTTCCAGATGTTCCAGTAGCTCCCCCCTCGACACTGCAGCGGCCCCTCGATCCTGAGGCAGGCCTTGACCACCACTGGGTGGAACATGTGACCTAGTCTGGCGCAAACAGGCGAAGCAAGGCACCTGGGGCGCCATCTAAGCTGGCTGCTGAAGGCTTGGCTGAGCGGCACGCATGTTGGTAGTCCGGCAGGGTGGGTAGGAAGGCGTCGGATGTGTCGATGTCATGCGTGAGGCGATTCTGCAACTGCGGGGTAGTCTGCGTAAATGTATCAGCCTCCTCCAATGGAACCACAACCCCATTTTCCTCGGCGGCAAAATGGCGTAGCCAACGATTAGCTGCCTCTGCGTGGGTGGTGGCAGTCGCGCCATCCCCCAGCTCTATGGTGGGCAAGGCGCGCGTGCTGATCCTTTTGGCCGATGCCTTGGCGAAAACCTGATCGAAATGTCTTCGTTCCCAAGCGTCGGCAACACTGGAAGCTAATCCTTCATGGTGTTGTAGGGCGTCGTTAGCTGTCGAGTGACGAATGAGCAAAGTAACGTGAAACAGAATGAGCTCACGGTGGGCACTCGCACAGGCGGGCACTCCATGCGCATAGTCCCAGCAACAAGTGATGTAGTTTCATAGTTCCGTCTCTCCTCCCTGCACCTTCCCATCAATCAGCATAGCACGATGGTGAAAATTGTGGTGGTAGTAAGGTGGCAGATGCCCCATTGATGTCCCCACTGTGCTAACATCCTAGGCCGTCCCAGTCCTTGTCGCTTCCCTGAGTGCCGTTCCCGAATGTCGGCTTCTCTTCTCAGCAGCGACGCGGTGGCCTGCGGAAGTAGCAAACGCGAGCTGTGTAGCGAACGAACCCGGCGAACTGAGGCTGGCAAACTAGGGAAGCGGCCTGTGGCTGGCGAAAAAACTGATCGACGCGAGTGCCCATCGCCGCGCGAAGAATAGCACCCGTAGCAGGTTGCTACTGGCCGCAAGACTATCTTGCGGGCGAGGCGTAGGTAGATGCTTCTTTCGTCCTGAAGACCCAAGGTGTCGATACTGATCCAGGATTGTCGCGGCTGCCTCCCAGTGGCCGTCGCTCGCGCCAGGAAAGCTGCGCCCATGCATCGTCGAACGTGGTCCGCACGCGCCTCTGCGTGGTCAGTGCTGCGGATGTCAAAGGGTGGGGGCAACGTGTGCTGGAATAGCTGGGAAGACGTCGGATCCGCGTAGAGACTCGGGTCGCGCGTGACTTTGCACGGCCTGGGCGCCTCCGACATGTGCTCGGAGGGTGGGGGCAAAAGACGCGCTGATACCAAATTGTGATCGGGTTGTGATACCGCGAGGTCGATATCGTGATCCACCTTCTGCGCTGGCACAGCAACACCCATCGACATCGTCGCATAATCCCTGCGACGGGAGGTCGTTCGGGCTTCTGGGGCCGCCCATGTACCAGCGGAGCCTGCGGGGTCCTCGTAGAAGGTTGACGGGGCCCATTGGGAGGTGGCTTTGAGGAAGTTAAGAAAATGCTTCCCAAGGAGGCTCTCCTTTACTGCATGGATGGGGCCCGCATGGGCATCCGTCTGGGGCCCCATAGCAGCGTCGGCGTCCACTCGTGTAACCAAGTGTTCGGAGCCCCCTCTGCGCCGTTGTAGGCACTGCCGTAGCTGCCACCACCAACTGTTGATATCCGCTGGGGGGGGGGGGGGGGGGGGGGGGGGGGGGGGGGGGGGGGGGGGGGGGGCGACGGGAATGCGGAGCATGAGCAACGCATGCGCAGAGCGACAGGGCCGGGGCCGGCGCGGCCGCAATGAGCACCGCGGCCCCCCATGCCCATGCAAAACTTGCAGGTGGAGGGCTGCGCCGTAAAACCAGGTTGGGATTTCCACTGCGCGTTGACCCGTAGCGCGCACCCTGCACCTCCGGGGTCGGAAGCCCGCGAGTGCAACAAATAGAACTGGCCTAGCTCGGAGGTGCCCGTGCCCACGAGAAAGTGAGGCTTTTGTGCAAACTGACCTGCCAACTGCATCATCCTGCCTGTGGCGCTGAAGCCTTGGAACCTGTCGAGGCCCCCTCTGTGGGCCTTGCACGCGCGGGGGTCCAAGGAGAGCGCGATGGCGATAGCGCACCACCCAACAGCAAACACCCCGCGGCCTTTGGGCGTTTTCTTGGGGACCGGGGTGATATCCATGATGCCTGTAGTGGGAGCCTGGGGGGGTGGGTAGGCGCTGACCGCAGTTGGGCGGGAAAGCCGCCTGGATAGTCGGGTCTGCATCAGCCAACCATATCCACGGCATTGGCTTGTCGCGTTCTTTCTGGGAAATGAGGTGCCCCCAGACTATAGGTCACTGAACTCAGTGGGGGCAGCCATGGCATACAGGCGCGCAAGCGCGTCTACGCACTCATTACACGGGTGGGCTGCATGCCCACGCACGTGCTCGAACATGACACTGAGTACGCACATGCGCACGGCCTGGATGAAGCCGCCCAGGAGGCGTTTGACAGACAACGAGGTTAGGCCTCGTGGGCGGCCACCTCGACGGCACCAGCGCCCAAGGCGCCTCCGCCATCGCGATCAGCTCGAAGTACCTTGGCCCCCGCTTGCCCGCTGTCGGTGCGTCGTCTGAGAGATACTGATCTTGCAGCCCTACGTCCCTGCAGAGCGGCCTCCATCTTCGCGCGGCTGGCCTTCTGGATCTCCACAGGTGCGGGCTTATCCTTGTCCTTCTTGGGCGTCTGCATGGCCGCGGCATGCTTGGCCGCGTCGATCGCGGCGGCTGCGATGGTCTCCAGGTCGGACTCTTTCTCGTTCCTGACGTTGGTGATCTCGGTCTGGAGAGCGGCGACAGTGTGCTGGAACGAAGACATGTTATGCAACACTTGTGCGTTAGACTGCTGGATCGCTGCCAATCGCGCCGGAATGCTGATATCCTGGCTCAATGCTGCAGCTGGGCCCCACCAGGCGGCACCTGCGTAGGGGGCGGGGAAGGCTGGGAGCGCCGGGGCTCCTGACCTCCATCTGCTGGTGTGACAGCTGGACCTGAGGCTGCTGCTGGGAGAGCTGACGCGCGCGGCGCTGTCGCTGTCCTGGGCGGCATGGTGGTGGTCGGTGAGGTACTGGCTGGTGGCCGCGATGACCTGCCTGCCGTCCCTCGCTGTCCAGGGCGGAAGCTCGTCTGGGTGAACGGTCCGTCCATCATGAGTTCATCAGCATCGTCGTCAGGAACTGCTATGTTGCCAGCTATCGGATGCTCATCTTCCAAATCTCCGACATGTTCCAGTAGCTGCTCTGTTTGTGCCAATTCGTCCGTGAGCACCTGGCACTGGGTGTCGGCCGCCTCCAGCTGCTCTTGTAGCAAATGGAGCTTCGCCTGGGCACCCATGAGACGCTTCTTGCAGCGGCCGACGAACATGCGCTGCTTCGTGATCCTGGCATGCGGCGACCGGGAGTGCATCATCTGGTATAGCAGCACGCTGTACTCTTCCTGCATGCGGCCCACCTGCTCCTCAACGAGGTTGAGCGCTGCAGCACAATGTAGTTGGCGCTCGATAGACTCCACTGTGGCTCCCAAGGCTTTTCTGAAGTCTCCGAGCTGCTGTGGATCCTGTGGAGGGTCTCGCCATCTTCTGTGCGACTGAGCAAACTCGGGGGAGGCTGGCACGATCGGCACTAGATCCTCTGGGCCTCCCTCTGTGTGCTTGGTCGCCGTACCTGCAGTTCTCTGTGGGGGCTGCGAGGCGGCGGCGCGGCGCTGGCCGCGCGGGCGAGAAACTGAACGCTCGTGTCGTTCACGCCGGTCAGCTGGCTGAGTGGGGTGGCGCTTGGCGCAAGCCTGTGCCGTCCATGCATTGTGATGTGCGCATGCGGGACACTCCCACAGGCGTTTGTACTTGGCGACTGTCTTCCAAGGCGGGGGACGTGGCTCACGATCACAACGTCCTCTGCTCTCACCTCTGGAACTACCTTTCGTCATCTGATGGTCTGGCTGCCGACTGTGATGTTGCTGTAGCGAGTCCGCTGCTGCTGCCACCTGAAGAAGCACACGTGCGCGGCTCCTCTCCTTGCGTAGCCGTCGATGCCACGCTGGGTCCTTGCTGCGAGCCGTGATAGACTCGCGTGCGGCTGCGCGGGCAAGCGCGTATGGCAGCCGTCCCGCGTGAGGAGTTTCGCCGTATTTGGTACAGCTCCCACAAACTCCTCGAGCTGGGACGGCGGATGATAGGAGGTAGGAGGAGAAAGCGAGGAGAACAGGGAGGACGGAGAGGAGGAGAAGAGAAAGGGTGATGGGGAGAACGGGAGAGAAAGCCGGCTGGGGGAAGGGGTCAAGCCCCTGCGCCGCGAGATGTGCGCCACCCTTGGGCTCTGGAAGCAGCCATCGAGCGCGTGCTCCGATAATGAAAAGTGTGGCAAACCTGGGCAACGCCTTGCAAAATGAGAGAATCCTGTGGTGCCAGACGTGTTCCAACGTTTCGGCCATGTGCTGGTCTGCAGAAGAGTTCTCCTCAAGACCGGCCACTGCATAACACCAGGCGCTCCTACTGGGCCCAAGCTGTCTGGGGCGGATTCAACATCTCTGGTTCAGCACGCCTGTCAAACGTGTACGTAGGCGCGCGGTCATCATCGGCAGCGGCACAAGCATCACCATCACCATCATTACTATCGCCATCGTCATTCGCAAAACCATGATGCCCATCATCACAAAGAAATTGCAGAATATTCCTCCTCCTCCTCCTCCTCCTAATCATCATCAGCATCATCATCAGCATCATCATCGTCATCATCAGCATCATCATTATCTTTATCATCATCATCATCAGCATCATCATCATCGTCATCACCATCACCATCGCCATCAGCATCCTCATCATCATCGCCATCATCCTCATCATCATTACCACCATCGTCATCACCATCACCATAACCATCACCACCACTATCATCAGCATCACCATCGCCCATAACCATCATCATCAACATCATCATCAGCATCATCACAAGCATCATCATCCTCGACATACTTGTCATCATAATCATCAGCCGCATGACCATCATAATCATCTGCATCAGCATCACCATCATCATCACGATCACTAACATCAACGCAATCATCAACCTCTTCACCATCACCATTACCAGCAGCATCAGCAGCATCATCATCAGCAGCATCAGCATCAGCATCATCATCAGCATCAGCATCATCACCACCAGTAACATCATCATCGTCATCATCGTCATCGTCATCGTCATCGTCATCGTCATCATCATCATCATCATCATCATCATCATCATCATCATCATCATCATCATCATCATCATCATCATCATCGCCGCCATCTTAACTACCACAACCGCGGCCTCCATCTGTGTCCTCAGGGCCTCAAGGTCGCTGTTGACCTCCCGGGCGCAAACACCCATCCGCCCATGGTCGAAGCATCTCTCCTCCTCGCTCGCCCTCGGCCTCAGGCCCGAGGGGGCCAAACTCAGTGATGTTTCTTGGTTTTTGAAGGATTCGGCAGTTGCGTCTGTTCAGCCTTCGGCCCAAGAGCCCCCAAAGATCGCCACAAGATTGCCCAAGAGGCCTCCAAGATGGCCCCAGAACAGCCAAAGAGGCCCCCAATGCTGCCCCAAGAGGGCCCCAAAACGGCTCAAGAGGCCTCCAAAAAGCCCAAGATGGCCTCCGAGACGACCCTGGAACACCCCAAGAAGACCCCAAGTCGGCCCAGAGAGAGTCTCAAGACAGCTTGCGAGGGCGTCAGACGGGCCAGGAGGCCATCAAGACGGCCCAGGATAGCTCCAAGATGACCCGAGACAGCCCAAGAGGCCCCAAAGAGGTCTCCAAGACGGCCCAAGAGGCCTCCAAGAGGGCCTCCAGGAAGGCCCGAAGAGGCCCAAATCCGTGTTGTTCGTCAGGTTGTTGAAGGATTTTAGCAGTTGCTTCTGTTCAGCCTTCCGACGGCCCCAGACGGCCCAAGAGCCCCAAAAGATCGCCCCAAGATCGCCCAATAGGCCTCTCCAAGATGGCCCCAGAACGGCCCAAGAGGTCCCCAAGACGGCCCCAAGAGGGCCCCAAGAGGGCCCCCTAAGACCCCGAAACAACCCAAGATGGCCTCGAAGATGGCCCTGGAGCGCCCCAAGAGGGCCCCAAAGTCGCCCACAGCTGCCCCCAAGACGTCTTCCGACGGCGCGAGACGGGCCAGGAATGCTCTAAGACGGCCAAATAGGCCCCCGAGAAGCCCCCAAAGGCCCCCAAGAGGCCCAAGTAGGCCCCCAAGATGCCACCAAGAGGCTCCCAGGAGGTCTCAAGAGTGCCCCCAGAGGCTCCCAAGATGCCCCCTCCTCTTCCTCCTCCTGCTCCTCCTGATCTTCCCCGCCATCCTCCCCCAAATGTTACCCGAAGGGTTTCCACGACGGCTCGGGGAACTCATGGCACGATAGCTTGGCAGAGCTCTTGCCACAACGCTCGGCCACATGAGCGATTCCAAGCGGCGGGGTGCGGCGGTGATTCGCCGTAGGCGTCTACGACAAACTGTTTGAGGCTTGCAACCCACGACAGTTGCATGGATTGGGAAGCTTAGTCACGAAACAGAGACACGTAGGGATGGCCGTCCTAAACCTCCCTTGCATCTTGAGCTACCATGCGATATGTACTAACCAGACTGTCTCCAGACCCATCAGAATTGCGAACATGTGCGCAATTGCTATAGACAAACTGCCCAGCGTCCACGAGTTCCAATGATTTCGACGCACTCCTTCGTGGGTTTGGGGCTCCCGCGCAACAGTTCCAGCGGCACTGAGCGCGTCGTTCGGCAAACGCCCAGGAGGTCGTCCCTGGACTCTCTTGCCATCTCACTGGGCCGTGATGGAGGCCTCGGGGGCTAGATCAAGAGGCCAAACTACTTCAAGACACGTTGGTGCTTCAGTGCTGGTCGCGCTCTCGGCACTCCGGTCTCCAGAGCGTGGCCTAAGAGGCCCCCGAGATCGCACCAAAGCGCCCCACCCAGGCCCCCAGAGATCCCACGCGGCTCCCGAGACGGCCCCAACTATGAGCTCGACCTGACGCTAGGAGCCCTCTACCCCCAAACTTCGGTCGGGCATGTCCCCATACAGCCGGATTTTGGAAGGAAAGATAAGCACAGTCGAAAATAAACACATATAGTCCAAAAGAGCACGAGGAATCGTCGCCGGATTATTTTTTCTGCTATGCAAGGACATGCCCGACGTGGCCCAAAAGACCTGGCCCAGCACGGAAACGGAAAGAGCGCTTCAGGAACAGAAACCGAAATTACTCACACCACCGTTCGTACTGGGAGCCTTGGCGTTGAGAGCTTGTTACGTCCCCACTCGCTCTTGGGAGCCTTGGTGTTCAGAGATTGTTGCGTTGCCGCCCGTTCCTGAGCCTTGGCTGGGCCTTGGTGTCAGGAACTTGTTACGTCACCGCTCTCTGCTGGGAGCCTTGGTCTTACCAGCTTGTTTACGTCACCGTTCGCTCTGCTACCGATCGCTCTGAATGTGGCGTCTCTGGGCCTTCTTGGGAGTCCTATTGGGGCCCTTTTGGAGCCCCTTTGGGGGCCTCTTGGAGGCCTCTTGGGGCTTCTTGGAGGGTTCTTGGGGCCTCCTGCGAGCTTCTTGGGGCGAAAGGCTAGACTTTTCGGTTCGTGGTCCCCCTCTTGGGGCCGTCTTGGAGCCCTCTTGGGCCGTCTTGGGCGCCTCTTGTGCCGTCTGGGCGCCCTCTTGGGCCGTTTTGGGGGCCTCTTGGGAGCCTCTTGGGCCGTCTTGGGGCGGTCTGTGGGGCCTCTTGGACCGTCTTCAACGCCGTGAAAGCCGAAAAGCCGTGTATGCCAAAATGTACCTTTTTCCAATCGGCAATCAATGATTTTGGCCTCCTGGTGGCCTCTTGGGACGCCTGTTGGGGGCCTCTTGGGGCTTCTTGGGAGGCTCTTGGGGCCTCCAGGGGGCGTCTTGGGGCGAAAGGCTAGACTTTTCGGTTCGTGGTCCCCCTTTTGGGGCCGTCTTGGGGCCCTCTTGGGCCGTCTTGGGCGCCTCTTAAGGCCGTCTTGGCGCCCTCTTGGTCCGTTTTGGGGGGCCTCTTGGGAGCCTCTTGGGCCGTCTTGGGGCGGCCTTGGGGGCCTCTTGGGCCGTCGGGAACGCCGTGAAAGCCGAAAAGCCGTCCATGCTAAAAATGAACGTTTTCCGTATGAAAATCAATTACTTTGGCCTCTTGGGGCCCTCTTGGGACGCCCCTTGGGCGCCTCTTGGGGGCCTCTGGGGCCGTCTTGGGCGGTCTTGGGCGGTCTTGGGCTCTCTTGGAGCGCTCTTGGGCCGTCTTGGGGGGGAACCCGAAAACATGCAAAAACCCGAAGGGGAAACCCGAAAACTGCCATTACCAACCCTGCGTCTCCGCCTCGCCCCTCTCCTGGAACCCCTCCTTCAAGGGCTTCGCCCCACACTAGAACGTCATCACTCATACCTCGCTCTTTCCGTTATCTCCCGTTAGACCGCCGGCGGGAAGCCTAGAACATGGCGTACCTACGAGCGGCACAGCCAGCTGAGGGGCCTCCAAAGGAGAGAGGCTCCTGCAAGAGAGAGCTCCAGAGGACGCCCCCAGGAGGCATCCCTCCTTCCATCCCTCCCAGGAGGCATCCCAGGAGCCCCCAGAGGCCTCTTGTCAACTGGCGGAGCTCGGAAACCCTAAACCCACAGACGTTTTCACCTCTTGAGGCAATTTTTCTACTTCCGCCACCCTTCCGCCGCCTTCCGCTGGCAGAGGCGGCCTCGTTCTACTTCCGCCGACCTTCCGCCGCCTTCCGCGGTGGAAGCGATGACTGAAGGGGCCCTGGGACACACAAATAAATAGACAAACAACAGGTTCCCCCATGGCCCATATGTTCTAATATTTTCTGAGTTTTCGTCCCCCCCCCACTTCCCATATTTTCACATATTCTCTGGGGAATCGACGATTAATTGCGTCTGTGTTTTTCCCTCCTGAATGACAACTCCTTCGGTCCTCGAAGGCAAAGCCGTGCTGGAGCGCCTCAACTACATCGGGGCGGGCGGCGGGGTGGGCCAGACGAACCAGGCCTCCGCCGGCCTCGCTCTGCCTCTCTACCTCTCGCTCCCCTTCTCTCTCCCTCGCTTTCTCTCTCTCTCTCTCTTTCTCTCTGTTTAGTTGTTGTTTCTCTCTCCCTCTCTCTGTAGTTTTTTGTTTTGTTTCTCTCTCTCTCTTTGTCTGTCTCACTCTCGTTGGGGAGTGGGGGGCAGGGTCCACGCACTGGCTCACGACGCCAACGTGGCCCAGGGGACAGCACGCCAGCAGCGTCGGAGCACACACCACGTCTCACCAGGCCCCTCTCTCTTTTTTTTTTTCTCTCTCTCTCTCTCTCTCTCGCGTCGGAGCACACACCACGTCTCACCGGGCCCCTCTCTCTCTCTCGCCTCTCGCCGCAAACCCGTGCGACCGGGAACGCATTCTCAACGACGGCGCTCGGGAGGCCAAGGCAGGGAACGCGAGGGTTTCGGGCCCTCTGGGGCCTCAGACGTGGCCGAGGCGGACGCGTTCCCCCAGACCGCAGCTGCCCAGCATCCTGGAGAGGATAGAACCTGGTCCGAGTATCCACTGGCGCCCATGTCCTGCACACTCCAACTGTCCACGGATGCGACATGCTGCTGCCTTGAAGACGCGGGTCGCTGCTCCTGACACCCCTTCAACCATCACCTCTTTCCGCTCTCGGAAGTCCCAGGCGCTCTCGGCGCCATCTGTCGTGTGGAGTTCGGGCCCTGGGTTGTGCTCCGTGGGCTGGGCCCCTGAAGGCTGTTCAACTTGAGCTCCCGCGCCACCGTCGCCGCCGCGTCGAGGCAACACCACCTGTCGTGTATCGGAAGCGCAGTGGAGTGGCCCCCACACTTGAGAACAAAATAGATGCCCATTGTAGGTTCTGACAGTCCCGCTACCAGACCTCTCACGGAACTGCCAGGGGCGTAGCGCAGGAGCCTCCCCGAGAGCCAAACTGCTGAACATCGAACGACGCTCAGCAACCTCGGCCTCTAAGGGTTCGCCAGGCCAGGCGACGGCCCCCGCTGCAACCAGAGACCCCAGAGGCCACCCCGGAGTGACCACAAGAGACCCCCGAGGCACGCTGCCAGAAGGAGCCGCAGTTGGGCATGCTGTCTGAGGGGCTCCGGTAAGCGGGCTGGATGGAAAGGAGAGGAGGAGGGAAGGATAACAGGGAATATGACGACCCCTATCCCAGGCTTCCTGGGGTTTTCCAATGGACCGACATTTGGGGCCCAACCCTGGGATATACGATGGGGGGCGTCCATCCTCGATAGGGGTGCGTCTGGATAGCCCCCCTGGGGTGCATCCCAGCGTTTCCCCCCTTTTCTGAGCGGCTTCAGCTTCCGTCGAAAAGCTGGGGGCCGCGGGCCCAAACATGCGACGTCCTGACTTTTTCCATGCGGGGTCCCTGGAAGTCCCGACCCCTTTCCCCGGGACCGGCATTTCGTCCTGAGTCGTTCTGTGGCGGCCCTGAGGCCCGGCGAGGGCCCCCCGAGGCCGAAAACGCCCAAAAACCTCCCCTCCTGTGTTTTTTTTTTGTGTACGACGCGATCCTGTCTCGGCGAGAAACATCGCCCGCGACAGGAGGAGGGGGCGCCATGCATCCCGCCCGCGGCAGGGAACGACAGCGCTGAACGGCAGACGCAGAGGACGCAGGCCAGACACACAGAGACATCCGATGACTTCTGCCCCCTCCGAGAGACGGGGGCCTCCCCGCGGCGACCAGCCGCGAAGGGGACTCCCCGCAGTCAGAGGTGCCAGGAAGGAGGAGGAGGAGGAGCAAGAGGAGGAGGAGAAGCAAGGAGAAGCAAGGAGACGCCAGGAGGAGGAGGAGGAGGAGGAGGAGGAGGTGCGAGGAGCGAGGAGGAGAAGAAGGGGAAGACGAGGAGGAGGTGGAGGTGGAGGAGGAGGGAGCACTCTAGAGGGAGAGGGGGAGGAGGGGGAGGAGGCGATGAGGAGGAAGAAAGGAGAAAAAGAGGATGAGCCTCCTTAGGCTCCGCGTCGGCTCCCAGGGAGACCACCTGCGGGCGGCGCCGCGGCGGACTGTGCACTCACTGAGCCGTCGCTCGCTGCCCCCCCTCCGCTCCTCCGCCCGCCCCCTCCGTTTCTCCCTGCCGCGGCCCTCGGCACCGGGGCCCTGCCCCGATAGGACCGCGCCCTCGAAGTCCGCCTCCCCAGATCCCCCTCGCGCGTTGTGACAAAATCACGGCGGGGAGCTTCTCGCTATCTTCGGCCTCCGGGGGCCCGGAGCCCGGGCCTCGGGACCGTCCACCGTTGGCGCAGTGCCGTTGGCTGAGGCACTCGTGTCACCGTCCCACCACATTCCTCTCTTCCCCCCCACATTCCTTCTCCTTATAGATAAGTCCTCCCTGTCGCACCCTGGGGACAGTTTTTAAGCCGGGCTGGGCGTTTCGCCCGAGACTTCCTCACCGCTTATGACTGTGAAACTTTAAAATTAACAATAGATTCACATATGCAGGGCGGGCCGTTTTCAAAATGTGGCTCTCGCCTGAGCGCCGCGCACATTCGGTTTAAACTCTTACAAAGGTTTCACGAATTAGGGGCGGGTGGTTTTCAAAATGTGGTTTTCGCCTGAGCGCCGCGTACATTCGTTTTAAACGGTTGCAAGAGCTTCGCGGATTGAGGGCGGGTCGTTTTCAAAATGTGGCTCTCGCCATAGCGCCGCGCACACTCGTCCTAAACAGTTACAAGAACTTCACGGATTGAGGGCGGGTCGTTTTCAAAATGTGGTTCTCGCCATAGCGCCGCGCACGTTCGTTTTAAATAGGTGCAAGAGTTTGACGGATTGAGGGCGGGTCGTTTTCAGAACGCCATAGCGCCGCGCACACTCGTTTTCAACATCTGCAAGGAGCTTCACGGATTGAGGTCGGGTCGTTTTCAAAATGTGGTTCTCGCCGAAGCGCCGCGCACATTCGTCTTCAAAATTGCTGCCAAGATTCACGGGTTCCCGTGATCAACGCTCCAAGGGAAAAAAAACGCCTCTTGAAAATATTCAGGATTATGCGGGTGCAACAATTATGTTGGTTCGCGGCGTTGAAGTCCCCAACATGGCGCTCTGGCACGATTCCGGATCGTCAATACGCAACAATCAAGTTGATACGTGGCGTTGAAATCCCGAGAACAATGTTTTAGCACGCTTCAGGATGTTCAAACGGTTGTCTTCCAACGTGGCAGTTCGGAAGGATTCAGGGTGATGCGGGTGCAACAATCATGTTGGTTCGCGGCGTTGAAGTCCCCCAAATGGCGCTCTGGCACGATTCCGGATCGTCAGGACGCAACAGTCGAGCTGATACGTGGCGTTGAAATCCCGGGAACAATGCTTTGGCATGCTTCAGGATCTTCAAGCGGCTGTCTTCCAACGAAGCAATTCCCTCAATGGAGATTAACCGCTGTGGGGGCCTATGAAGAAGGAGCGTGGAAGAAGGGTTAATTCCAACATCGTTGGTGACTCTTGGTTTTACACTTGTCCTCGTTTTCCTCCCCCTTCTCCTCCTCCTCCTCCTCCTCCTCCTCCTCCTCCTCCTCCGCCTCCTCCCCCTCCCCCTCCCCCTCCCCGTCCTCCTTTTCCTCCTTTTCCAACTCCTCCTCCTCCTCCTCCCCCATCCTCCTCCTCTTCCTCCTCCTCCTCCTCCTTCTCCTCCCCCCCCTTCCCCTCAATCTCCTCCTCGGATGCGCGAAGCGGTCTCGAGCCCACTCTAGGAGCAGAAAGATACAACAAGTTCGCGAAGGGCCCAGGCGGCGCCTACGGAGGAGAAGAAGGAAGGCCGAGAGGAGGTGAGGAAAAAAAGAAATCGGAAGAGTAGGCGCCACCGAAGCCCTTTCCCCCAAACCCCCGCCTAGGCCCTCGCCTAGGGGAGCGGGGTGGGGTGTGTAGAAAAGGGGAGGGGAGACCGCTGGTGCTGCTTTTCCCCGAATGCAGATAGACTGTATGATATATATATATATATATATAGAACCAATGATCTCAGCAGCCACTCGCTCCATGTCCGACTCAGAAGAAGAAGGGCCCCCTTGGCCCTCCTCCCCTTCCTCCTCTGCACGCGGCCGTGAGCCCCGCGGGCCTCCTTCCAGGCGCACGCAGCCCGATCTCTGAAGTGGCGCTCTCGCCCCTTCAGGGCGCGGTTCGCCGCCTTAAGAACAGCAGCGCTTCTACGCCACCTCGAGTCCACAGTCTGCTGGGAGTGGCGAGGGCGCGGGCGCTTGGAGCGGCCCCTCCCCTTCCTCTTGGCTGCCCCCCTGAGCAGCCTGGGGGGCGGAGGCTGGGCGGGTGGCTGCGGCCTCCGCGCGGATGGCCTGGCCGCCCCCGTCCCCTGAAAGAGCGCCTTCGCCACATTCCCTCGGGGACGGGACTTGGGAGGGGCACGCAGCGCGCTGGGCTCCGGTGCCTGGACCCTGGACCACCTGCTCCTGCTCGGGGGGCAAGGAGGGTGGGAAGGAAATGGGAGAAGAGAGATACTCCCCCAGACCGCCCCGCTGCTACCCCAGTGGGACCCCACCAATCCCGCATACTGCGCGTACTGCCCTAACCAGGAGAACTGAACGGCAAGATCCTGCTGATCTTGGCACTCGTTCCTGGGAGGATGCCTTTTCCTAAGCTTCATGAGCTCACTACTTATCTTCCTGGTGCAACCCCTGGGGTCAGTTAGCTTCTTTGGACCCACGATGTGCACTGAAACCTCCACAAGGATTGCAAACTATAACAGGAAGCCCTGCATCGAGCCAGCCGGCGTACAGGGAGTGATGAAGCCTTTTGTTCTGCTTGATGACATCCTCCATGGCCGGTGACATAAGGACGGTAACCCACCGTAGATGGCACGCTTACGTGTGCTGTCGCCAATTAATTATACTGCAGAGGAGCCCGCTCCAGCAAGATGGCGGATCTCGGGGTTAAGACACGAGCCGTCCGTGAAGATCTCGCTGTTCGGTTCGAACTCGAAAGGGGCACATGGCCCACTGAAATCGACGTAACGGGTGTCCCATGCTTCCAATATAGAGGATCTAGTTGGATTCTGGGTGGCCACAAGTGCGAGAAAAAAAGACGAATCTTCTGACGCACCTGCAAGCAATTCAAACCCCAAGACCTCCTCATCCTCCTCCTCTCTCCCATCCGCCACTCCCTCATTCCCTCTTCCCGCCGCCCCCTGGCCTCTCCCTTCCATTCCCCCTCCCCGTCAAATGACCCCCCCCGTCCGACACCCCCTCCGCCCTCAGCGTTCCCCCTCCTCCTCCGCCATCCTCCTCCTCCTCCTCCTCCGCCTCCTCCTCCGCCTCCTCCTCCTCCTCCTCCTCCTCCTTCCTATCCAGCCCGTAAAAGTGGCAGAACACGAGCGCGACAATCCAGACTCGCCGCCCGCCCCTCCGCAGCCCACGCCGAGGAATAATCCACAGCGCGAAGTGGCCCACTGCTTACAAGCGCAAGGGGGTGCCCGTGATCCTGATGCAAAGCGACGAGAAAACGACAGACTACCGAGACGGCACGACAGGGGATGGGGGCGGCGCACCTGGTGATTCAGCCCGCGGCGGAGCGTGAGCTCGAGCTGCGTGCTCTTCTTCAGCTCCTTTGGTGGCGACATCCGAACACTGCCCCCGCCAACCACCGATCCCCCTGAATCGATGGGAGAATGGGATAGGGCTCGAAATGCGCCACGTGTTCGACGAACTCCGAACCCTTCCCCCGCCGCCCATCGAGTTGCTCGAATCGTTGATCGGCGAGGGCAGCGCTCGGGTTCCGCCGCAGGCTCCTGGCACATACCGTTGACGTCCGTGCAGCCGTTGACCTGCAAGGGGGGGCCGTCCACGCTGGGACCCCTGGTCACCAGGCCCGTGCCAGGCCAGCCCAGCGGCTGAGATGCTCGAGCGGCCGCTTTAGACGACGAGAATAAGGAGGACCCTGACCTCCTGGCGTTGATAACAATCACGGCGGAAAACGCTTGGCTGTTTCCGGCCTCCGCTAAACGGAAGGTCCAGGCCTCAATCCCCAGCGGAGGCTATCCCGCACACTTTTTAACCGCAGCCCGCCAAAACTTTCCCTCGCACTGGCCCAACTTTAAGGTCAACCCCTGCTTCATCCTCTGCCTCCTTTGCGCAGCCTCTCGACTCTTCGGACTGCCGCAGTGACCCCCACTGCACCGCACTCCCCCGAGGAGGATCAGAAGAACAGCACAACAATAATAGAGAGGCAAGCACCCCAGGCAAGGCAGATCTTTGGTGCGCGGCTTGCGGGCAGGAATCGGAGGAGGAGGAGGCGGAGGAGGAGGAGGAGGAGGAGGAGGAGGGGGAGGGGGAGGAGGAGGAGGGAGGGGGAGGAGGAGGGGGAGGAGGAGGAGGAGGAGGAGGAGGAGGAGGAGGAGGAGGAGGAGGGGGTTGCGCGGGGGCGCCCAACCGGGGCACGCAGGCCGCTGCTGTCGCACCCTCCCCTCCGCGGCCTGGGGGCCCCCGCGGGCCCGAGCCAGAGGCCACCGCCGGACGTCGGGGCCCCGCCTCCGCCGTCCGGGGGCCGCCGAGAGGCCACGGCCCAGGCCGGGGGCGCGCAGGACACGGACCAGCGATCCGTGGACCCAGACCCCCTCGAGGTATGAAAAAATCACGACGGGAGGTTTTTCCTAATTTTTGGCCTCTGGGGGCCCTTACCGGGCCTCGGGAGCGTCAAAAAACGACTCGGGACGAAGAACCGGTCCCGGGGAAAGGGTCCAGACCGCTGGGGGTCGACGTCATGAAAAATTCATGACGTCGGGGGTCTGGGGATGTGGCGCGCGGTCGCCGAATCCGCGGGTCGGGGGGGCGGGGGCCCTGCCCAAGATGCGGCCGGTGCCGCCTCGTTCGGCGGTGTGTGCGATCGCCTGATCAGGACGAGACGGCAGTCCCCCCCCGGCAAGAGATGCAGACCTCTGGGAACCCGCGCAGAGAAGAGCAGCGGCGCCGGATGTCTGGGGAGGAGGGGGAGTGGGGGGGGGGAGGGGGGAGGGGGATAAGACACGGCAGGGAGAGCGCCGCGCAGGACAGAATGGTGATGCGGCGGGGGCGGTGGAGAAAAGTAATGAATGATGGAGTGTCAGACTAATCCGACCAGCCCTCTGGGTCTTGGGTGGTCCCTTACGCTCCTTTCTGCAATTCTGGGGGCCAGAGAAGCGCATTTTGCCCTACCGGGGGCCGTCCAAGGCCATTGGGGGGCCCTGTTGGGACCCTCTGGGGGCGTACTTGAGCATTTTCCTGGTCTCCCAGTCGGGTCTCCTGGAGCCGTCTGGAGCCGAGAAGGCGAGCGGTCCAGAATGTTCAAATCTTTCGTTGTCTGTTCTTTGTGGCCTTGGGTCGTCTTGGCGCTGTCCAGGAAGCTCTTGCGCCATGATGGAGCTGCAGGGTGCCGTCTTGTGGTCGTCTTGGGGGTCGGCTTGGTATGTATGGTTTAGGCCCTCGTCGGGAGCTCCTGGGCCCCCTTGGGCCGCTCTGGGCCGCATTCAGTCTCGTGGGGCGCCGGCGACATAGCCGGCCCCGCCACGAAGCAGCAAGAGTCAGGTCGTCATTGCCAGTAGACTCGTGGAGAAAGGGAGAGCCCACCATCGAGAAATCGGTCTCGGCTTCGCTGCTTGCAGATCGTCTTTTCGGACATAACTGAAGGGGCCCCAGGACACACAAATAAATACACACTAATAAAATTATTCACCATATTTCCCTGTATTTTCTGGGTTTCTGTCTTCCCCCCCACTGCCCATATTTTCCCATCTTTTCTGGGGGATCGACGGTAAATTGTGTCTGTGTGTTTTTTACCTCCTGAACAACCTGGGCCATCCGACGAGGGGGAGGTGCCGGCCAATGTCCTAACGTTTTTGCATTATAGGCAGCCCCACGGACGCCCACCCGCACCAGTACTGCGCACCCAATTCTCGGACATGCGCATCCGTAGGGGGCCAGATGCGAGCCCTACCCCTGCCCCCCACGATTTCTGAGGGGGAGGGTGGGGCTCACTTTGCTCGGGAGCTCCCGAACGAAGTGAACCCCACCCTCCCCCTCAGAAATCGTGGGGGGTAGGGGTAGGGTTCACATCTGGCCCCCTAATACGACAAGGTCAGGTAGGGCCTTTCGGAGATAGCCTGGGCCATCCGACGAGGGGGAGGTGCCAGCCAATATCCTAACGCTTTTGCATTAGGCAGCCCCACGGACGCCCACCTGCACCAGTACTGCGCACCCCATTCTCGGACATGCGCACCCGACGAGGTCCGGCTATCCGGGAGGGGGGTCGAGCGGGCCCGATGAGCCGGGAGATCGCCGGACCTTGAAACCAACAGGCTCGTGCCGTGCGCGTGCGCGGGGCAGAGATATGCGCGACGTCCCCGCCAGCAAGACACGCAAACCAACTGCCAGCAATCTTTGTGTATCGGGGACGGCCAAGATGACTACGTACCAGACCACCCCTACCCAACCCGAAGACCCGAATTTCGGGTTGGGGGGGGTAAGGGTTCCATATGTGTTTTCTCCATGTTCCCCGATCCCCCCCCCCCCACACTAGAAATGGATGGCAAATCGGGGCCTTCGGGTTGGGTTGGGGTGGGTTGGTGGGTGGTGACAAGAGGGGGGCGTCCAAGAGGGGGGGGGGGGGGGGGGCAAATCATGGCCGGCCGGCGGTATGTGCGCGGCCCAGGGGGGGCCAGGAACGTCATGAAATAAGAAGAGGCACCATGAGATCTGAAGAAAGATCGTGGCCCACGCCATGATATCCACCTCCCCCAGTCATCACCCCCCTCTTTGCCGCCCCCGATTGTAGACTACAGACCAATCCACCGAGTTGCCAGCCAGCCTGCCTCGAAGCCAACAGACTGAGAGACCGACCAAGCGTAGCCATGCATTCACAGGGGGGGCTGGCGACACAGGGCGACGCACAACAGATATGCTTTCTATGACCGCCCCCCCATCTCGTCACGCAGCCCTCCTGTCCTCCTCCTCACCTGCTCCTGTACTCCTCCGTTCCTCCTGTCCTCCTCCCTTCCTCCTCCGTTCCGTCCTGCTGTTCTCCTCCTGCCCTCCGCATTCCCTCCTCCGTCCCTCCTCCGTTCCTCCTCCGTTCCCCCTCCTCCTCCTTTCCTCCTCTTCCTCCTCCTCCTCCTGCATGCATCCCCCTCCCCTCTCCCGAGGCTTCCTGTGCGGCCCAGCGCCTCCCCATCGCTCTTTCCCAGGACGGCTCAGGAAGGCGACCTAGGCCGCCAAGATGGCCCAACGCTGCCTCAAGAGGCCCCCAGCAGCCCCCAGCCCAGACCTCCGACGCATGGAACAAATCAAGACGGAGGTCTTTCTCGATGTTCGGCCTCTGCTGGCCCTCGCCCGGCCCCAGGACCATCAACAAAACGACTCAGGATGACAAACCGGCCCCGGGGAATGGGGCGAGACTTCCAGGGGCCCCGTTGGACTGAAAAATTCTCAGCGTCGGATCTCTGGGATTGACACCCCAAGCTGCGGCAAGGAGGCCCCAAGAGTCAGACAGGCTATGCAGGACTGCCGAAATCGGGGGAAACTGACAGAGGCACCCTGTGCCACTCGTAGCCTGGGGCTCCTGGACCCCTCGCCTCAAGATGGTTCCAAGAGGACAGCGGGGAAGCCAGAGAGAGAACCACAAAGCCCGCCGAGGGCCCCAGAAACCCCGCAGACGGTCCAGGACAATCCAAAGCAGAGCTCAGAGGCGAATCGGAATAGCCCAAGAAGGCCCCCACGAGGCCCTCAAGACAGCCCCGAGAAGCTCCCCAAAACGACCGAGAGGGGTACGAGACGGCCCAAGACGGAACCGGCACGGCCCGAAAGAGCCCGAAGGCGATTCAAGAGGGACCCGAGGGGGCCCAACAGAAGCTTGATACAGCCCATGTCGGGCCAGGTGGCCCACAAGCGGGGCTTGCCGCAGGCAGCTGGATAGATTGCACAACGTGGGTTGCATGCCATACATAGGCTGCAGCACATGGAATTCACATTGGAAGTGCAATCACAAACTGTCTGCGCTGCACTCCGACAAACATTAGACGAGCCAGATTGGCCAGCATGACTGGAAGTGATCGAAGGGTTATGATGTTGAGTTGGATTGACTCATTTGCAGGGGCTACGCATCAATCACCACTTGAATAGGCGCGAGAGATGTAAGGGTGCATCTGGATGAATTAGATCAGCAAGCAAACGAAACACGATGATTGTCGTCGGTGCGTAATTTCTGGGAACCTGAACGTACCCAGAAATCAAATGTACTCAAAACATCCGAATGAAACAAAAAAACGACAAATTCAACGGTCCTGAGAAGTATACGGCTTAGACTGTACGTTGGGGCTTGCGTTTGAGGAACAGTGCGTGAAGAGCTAGACTATCTGAAGGAGTTCGTCTAATCGGACGAGCAGCAATTACCCGAATAGTGCGAAGAGCGGAAAGAGTGGAGGGTCAGAACAGTGAGGACCACCCGACGAATAACCCCACATCTACATCTAGATTCCTCCAGCAGTGCTTGCCCTTAGCGGTTCGCACTTGCGTTTTAAGGCACTGGGCCTGGGGGTCAGTCTGGCGGCAATGTTGTCGCTGTCGCTGCCCAGTTGCCACCTCGTCGCCGCCCATCGTCTGGGCCTAGGTCGGTCTGGCAGCAATGTTGTCGCCATCGCCGCCCCGTTGCCGCCTCGTCGCCGTCCATCGTCTGGACCTGGTGGTCGGTCTGGCGGCTATGATGTCGCCGTCGCCGCCCCGTCGCCACCTCGTCACTGCCACATATTGTGCACCACATCGATTGCTCCAGATAGATTGCTTAAACGATACTGCGCAA